TCCCCCCTTTAAAAAAAACAATAAAAAATATTAAAAAAAAAAAAAAAAAAAGACAGCCATGCACACTGAGGAAAGGAAGTATAACTAGCTACCTTTACTTGAAGAAGATGAGACCTTGTACCTAGAGTGCGGAGAAGTCAGCAACAACAAAACAGTGGGAATAATCTTTACAAGTTCACAGGATACAAGATCGCTCTGTAAAACTCAATTCTCTGGTACACTTTCAAAATTAGATTAAAAAACACAATTCCACTCAAAATTAAAAGATGAGGAATAAAGTAGCAAAAGTATAAAGACTTATACACTGAAACTACTAAACACTGCAGAGAAAAATTACAGGTCTAAAGGAATGGAGGAAACTTGCCCTGACTATGGCTTAGGACAGTGATGGCGAACCTATGACACGCGGGTCAGAGGTGACACGCGAACTCATTTTTTTGGTTGATTTTTCTTTGTTAAATGGCATTTAAATATATAAAATAAATATCAAAAATAGAAGTCTTTGTTTTACTATGGTTGCAAATATCAAAAAATTTCTCTATGTGACACGGCACCAGAGTTAAGTTAGGGTTTTTCAAAATGCTGACACGCCGAGCTCAAAAGGTTTGCCATCACTGGCTTAGGAGGCTCAATATTGTTTAGATGATAATTCTCCCTAAATTGATAAATAAATTCAACACAATGCCTGTCAATAGTTCAGCTTCTTTCTTCTTTTCAGAAATTAATAAGCTGATCCTACAACATATACGGAAGTATAAACAATCTAGAATAGCCAAAATCATTCTGGAAAAGAACAAAGTTGGAACTTATAATCTTCCCCATTTTACCAAGTGGTATACAGCTAGTAATGAATGCAGAGTGTATCGGCATAAGGACAGAAATATGTACCAATGGAACAGAACTGAGAACCCAGAAACAGACCATTATGTATTTATGGCCTCAACTAATTGGCAACAAATTTGTCACCCAAACAATTTGTCACCCAAATTTGGGACCAGGACAATTTAATGAAGAAAGGATAATCTTTTCAGCAAATGGCACCAGAGCAATTTCCAAAAATCCCTCTGCAAAAATAAATGAACTTGGGCCCTCGCACTTAACACTTAAAACAAAAAGTAACTCAAAATGAAACAGGCCTAAATGTAAGAAATTCTAGAAAAAACAAGAAAAGCAAGTCTCTGTAACCTTGGGTTAGGCAAATGTCTCATTTTATGACAATCCATTTAAAAATGATAAATTATACTTCATCAAATTTAAAAACGCTTGCTCTTCAAAAGACAGCACTAAGAAAATGAAAAGACAAGCCATAGTAAGACAATGCATAATAAGAGAATAGCTCCTGAAAAACTAGGACAAAGGTGAATCTCAAAACTCTTATGCTAAGTGAAAGGAGCCAAAAATAGAAGGGCCATGTTAAGCTTCCATTCAAATGGAATTTCTAGAAAAGGTAAATCACTAGAGGTGAAAGCTGATTAGTGAAGCAGAGTGTTTGTATGAACAAGCAAGAGGGAACTTTTCTGGATGAAAAAAATATTCCAAAACTAGATTATCCTGATAATTGCACAACTCTACAAATTCATTAAAAAATAATTAATCGCATATTTACAATGGTACACTTTATGGTATGTACATTGTATCTCAAGAAGTTTTCAGAGCTATAACAACAAATGGGGGAAGGGACCATTTTCTATGTTGGACATTAGGCTATCCAAAAATGCCTTGATCAGTTTATGACAGGTACATAGTAGACACTCACATATTCTCTGAATTTGAATGACATGAGAGAATGACAAATAAATAGGGAAAAAAGAGGTGCCATATAGAAAACAAAACCGGGTAGGGATGCTAAGCATGTCTAACAGGCTACTCTAGGTCAGGTGGTCTGAGAAGACCTCTAAAAAGAAGTGGTCACATAAACCGAGGCAAGAATAGTAATCTTCTCTGAATTTGAATGACATGAGATGAATGACAAATAAATAGGAGAAAAAGAGGTGCCATATAGAAAACAAAACCAGGTAGGGATGCTAAGCATGTTTAACAGGCTACTCTAGGTCAGGTGGTCTGAGAAGACCTCTAAAAAGAAGTGGTCACATAAACCGAGGCAAGAATAGTATTGAAGAGGAGGAGGAAAAACATCCCAGACCCAAGGACTGGCAATGGCATGGCATGAGGAAGCAATAAAAAGATGGCTGGAATGGCTGGAGGAGAGTGAGTGAGTGGAGAAAGTGGTGCGCGATGAGTCAAAGTCAAGGTACTGAGAAGGGTCCTTCAAATCAGGCCGAGTTTAGCTTTCACTTTAAGTATCACCAACACCTCTGGATAAATTTAACTTTTATAAAATACGCACACCATCTCTCCCATAAAAACCTTCTTTAAAAGAGACATCCCACAAATTTTTTAGTAAGTTGGAGACCTGAAGAAGGCCTAAAGGTGATGCTTCTGTTAGCAGATCTTTGGACTTAAAGTATTTTTAATATTTGACAGGTTGTGGACCTTGTAGATGCCATTTCAATTTTACTGATAACCTGGTAACAATAGTGAGAAGTTCTCATGTTTCCTATCTACTAATTACTTCCCCAAAGCAAGTAACTGATTCAAATGTTTGATAAACAACGTGCTTTCTCCTCAACAGGCTGATTTCTGTGCCTTCGCTCATGTATGATGGAACATGTTAATATGTCTGTTCCTGCCTCAGTTAATGCCTTGCTTTCCCCAAAACATGCATGCCATCCATGTTCCCTAAGGTCTGTCTACTCAAAGGAGTTAAAAAGCATTGGCATTTCAGACATCCTAGCATGTTGGGAAATACACAGGAAGGAGCTTACTTCTCCGGCATAATAAAGTGCAGCAAGGACCAGAGCTCTTTGAGGGAGTTCTGAAGAGGGGTCCCCGTAATCAGGAGCCTATGGTTGGACTTGAAGTCAATCAGGGTTTTATACAATAAAGAGTCATCGTTCTTCAACCGATGGGCTTCATCCACTCCCAGGAAGGCCCAGTTAATACTGCCCAGCACAGTCTAAAGCAAAAACAAAACAGAACGAGCCACCAGGTCAGAAGGGAACCCACAAGGACTTGCAAGTGTTAATGATCTCTGTACAAAATACCGTCACGAAGGTAGGCACCAGTGATGGCGAACCTATGACACGCGTGTCAGAGGTGACACGCGAACTCATTTTTTTGGTTGATTTTTCTTTGTTAAATGGCATTTAAATATATAAAATAAATATAAAAAATATAAGTCTTTGTTTTACTATGGTTGCAAATATCAAAACATTTCTATATGTGACACGGCACCCGAGTTAAGTTAGGGTTTTTCAAAATGCTGACACGCCGAGCTCCAAAGGTTCGCCATCACTGGTACACACGGAAACATTGATTCTTCAGACTTAAGGGACAGGAGGACTCTTCTGTTTATTCTGCCGGTTGCCAGATGGATGTCTATTCAAAAGATCACATTCTCCCTCTAAAACCCATAAGGGGATCTCTTAGGCCAGGTACTGCTGCAAGCCCAGAAGCAAGAACCCAAAAACTGGCATGCTGGGCAAAAAACAAAAAACAGGGGATTTTGCTGTCTCTCTTTCATTAAGGTTCTTCTCTCCCTGTTCTCCAGCCCAACCCTCAAGCACAGAAACATCAAGAGCCACCAAACTGAACGTATTTATTTACACTGTCACCAATGGGATCACCTGCCACATACATTTCCTACTAAACTGTAGAAAGAAGGTAATTTAAAGAGCTTCCTTTTGCTGTCCCCCTCGGAGACCACCCGCATCACCTGTTCTGGAGAAATGTCTGCGCCATGAGGATGGCACCCAGGCCCAGTTCCCCATAATTGCCTAGAATCACAGGGGAGCTACGGGCCTCAATACCCCTTTGTCCTGTTTAATTCCATTGGACTAGGTGACCTAAGGTCCCCTTCAACCGTGAGTTTGGTTGTTTCTGTTGTTTTTTTAATAACCTTAATATTCATTGTGGATTTACTGGTTCATTTGTTTGCTTTTTTAAAGAAATAGAGAGAAAAAGAACATGGCAAGTGGGAAGTACACACCCTGATGCTGAAGTCTGATAACATTTGGACAAGTTACACTACAAAATTCAGCCTTTTAGTTACCAATTACACACCTTATCTTTTAAGAGGATCTCGTATGTTGTTATAAGTGCATTGAATTTGAGCCTTTTGGTCTGAGAATGAATCCATTCATATTCCCGTATCTATAAAAGAAAAGGGTAATTCAGATACAATTTCTACTTTTACCAGCCAGTCTTATGACAGATGCAACAAACATGCCCAATAAAAAAACTTGTAGAATTTAATAAATACCTTATACATTCTAAAATGACCTAATCGATAGACGTATAAAGTTAAGAGTTAGAATTAAAAGACCTATCACTGAACAGCCAAAACTTCACTGTCAGAATTCAAATAAATTGTCATTTCCCTTTGCCCCTGCAGCCCCAACACAACTGATCAAAAAAATGCATTTCATCAGCAATTTAACCCCCTAAATGAGAATTTTCTTAAGGAAATATAATCTGATTATTTTCTTGGGCAGGGCAATACTTTCATTAGCAAGTAAAACGAATCCCAGCCATTAATGAGGGAGATGTGGGCCCCAAGAAAAAGGAAAGGGAGGCTCACTTGTGAAAATGTAATTTAACCTGAATGAAAATGAAAATAACGTCTATGTGAAGGAACACAGAAGCTAACACGTTCACACTGAGGTGTGACTGGATGCCAGGCAGACAATGCCCATGACAAAGCTTCTGCAGTTGGTTGTCATGACAACGGGGCAAGGAGTACACGCAGGTGAGTACCACCACGTGGGAAGAAAGGCAACAAAGCTAAAGGAGAACTGAAGACTTCCCAGCGGACACAATTTTTCAGAGTCCTCCTTGTCTTCACTAGGGACTGCAGTGCTTAAAGCCATTTCGCATAATCCCGGAAGTTGTTTTTTCTTTTGTGATGGTTAAAAAAATAAATTCACAAAGCTAGAAACTACTGTATACTTTAGAAACTCGGAATGAGGGCAATGCAATCTGCCAGAGTTTCGGTTAGACAATGACAATAGGTGATAAAAATAAATTGGACTTAGCATGACAATATGTAACATCTCTCAAAGGGTTGTGGGTTCCTGATGGCTTGCTCTTATGGTAAGCAATCCCCCAGAAACAGTTACCATACAGGGGTGGAGGAGCAACGGTATGGGGCCAGACACATCTGTCCCAACCCCCTATTCTAGTTGGCATGGGGCCAGGGGTTCACCTCTCTGAGTCACCACCTTCATCGGTTGGAAAGAACAGGGTCTACTGTGGAGACTATCATGAGGATTACAGGCTGTGTACACAGAGCACCCGGCACAGGGCCCGGCACCTGCCAGGTGCTTGTAAAAACAGTTAATCACCAAGGAAAGATTTAAGTTTCTGACACTTAAGTCTGATAACAGGCAAAGCTCATGTCTGCTGACTTGGACCGGCCCATTGTCCTTTCCCCTTATTCCTTTCTTAGAAGTCATGCGTTTTCAATGACTTTTTTTTTTAATTTTTAATTTTTTTTCAAGGTCAGTTGCAACCTCACCATGTTAAAAGATTGGGAAACACATTCTAAGAACTCGATTATGTTCAGTAATAACTCTCTGCTCAAATAGCTAAAATAATATTGATATTCTACAAGGTATTAACTCCCTATAACCCTTCATAAATAAGGTGGTTGTACAAGTCCAGAGCACAGAGAGAAGAAAAATATAATTAATATTACAATCCAACGAAGAGATTCCCCTTCATGTACTTTCCTTAAATATACGCGTGTTTTGCAGAATATCTGGGTTGCATTTTTGTGATACAATATATCCCCCAATATCGGGGGCACAGCACAGAATCATAACTTTACCAAAAACTATAATGGCTTTAGGTCAATTCCCAAAATACATTTATAATACAGATTCTACCCCAATTCTTTTGTTTACACACCGTATTTCTGCTCATCAGGTCACCTATGTAAACCACTACGTTAATCTCTGGTGCCCAGATTTCAAACTCCCTCTGCCATGAGGTGAGGGTGGATAAAGGGACGACTATAAGAAAAGGGCCATACAGCTGGTGTTGGTGGAACAGGTAGGAGAGGAATGATATGGTCTGGATGGTCTTTCCCAGGCCCATTTCATCAGCAAGGATTACACTGTTGCTTCTGCAGGAAGAAGAAAAAAAAAAATTAGTTCACAAAAAAAAACGAAGAGCAAAGATGCCAACGCCTTATGCCACCCAGCAAAACACTTCAGTGTGAATCTCAACGGTATTTCCTCTCACCTGCAATTAAGTTTCCTACATAAGAAAGTGGAAGCTTGCCCTAACCGGTTTGGCTCAGTGGATAGAGCGTCGGCCTGCGGACTGAAAGGTCCCAGGTTCAATTCCGTCAAGGGCATGTACATGGTTGCGGGCACATCCCCAATAGGAGGTGTGCAGGAGGCAGCTCATCGATGTTTCTCTCTCATCGATGTTTCTAACTCTCCATCCCTCTCCCTTCCTCTCTGTAAAAAAATCAATAAAATATATATATTTAAAAAAAGAAAGAAAGTGGAAGCTACAAACAGAATAACAAGTGATCTAAGCATGATCAAGACTTGGATTAGGCCTAGCCGGTTTGGCTCAGTGGACAGAGCGTCAACCTGAGGACTGAAGGGTCCTGGGTTCAATTCCCGGTCAAGGGCATGTAGCTCAGCTGCAGGCTCAATCCCTGGCCCTGGTCAGGTAGCGTGCAGGAGGCAACCAATCGATGTGTGTTCTCTCACACCGATGTTCTCTCTCTCTCTCTCTCTCTCTCTCTCTCTCTCTCTCTCTCTCTCCCTCTCTCTCTCTCTCTCTCTGTCTTTCCCCCTCCCTTCCACTCTCTCTAAAAATCAATGGGAAAATATCCTCAGGTGAGGATTTAGAAAAAAAAGGGCTTGGATTACTACAAGAGCCTAGTCAGACTATATTCTTGACCTTGCATCTGGTTTTGTACCTCTATCCCCTATAACAGAGGAAGCAGGTGGACACAAGCACATGACCTTGGCTTCCAACACAGAAAGCAGGGCAGACTGGCTACCCCCACTGGAGAACTGGAGCCTGAGAGTCATGTGCCTTTGCTCGAATCACCCACCCAGGCCACTGCACGCCACCAGGTTGTTCAGCGCTATACACACTACTCGCCAGAACTGCATGCTGCCGTGCGTACAGCTTGATTTAAAGACACTACAGTCTACAGCTGGAGTAAGCTATAGATTTCTTTCTTTTTTTTGGTATTGTGGTTTCTTTTTTTAAAAATATATTTCATTGATTTCAGAGAGGAAGGGAGAGATCGAGACATCAATGATGAGAGAGAATCATTGACAAGCTGCCTTTTGCCTGCCCCACACTGGGGATCGAGACAACCTGGGCATGTGCCCTTGACCACAACTGAACCCAGGACCCTTCAGTCCACAGGCCAACGCTCTATCCACTGAGCCAAACTGGCTAGGGCCATTTCTGAATCTACTCTACACCTGAATCAGTACCTGGGAAAGGACTCAGGAATCTGCATTGTAACCAACACTTCTGCACATTCTGATGCAGGTGTCTTCCTGGGACCACACTTTGAGAAACGCTGCTTTAGCAGATGGGCTGGATTTCAACAGGATGTTTCTCTATCACATCAATATTTCTCTCCCCCCGCCCCCTTCTCCTCTCTCTCTAAAATCAATTTAAAAAATTAACCCTAACCGGTTTGGCTCAGTGGATAGAGCGTCAGCCTGCAGACTCAAGGGTCCCAGGTTCGATTCCAGTCAAGGGCATGTACCTTGGTTGCGGCCACATCCCCAGTAGGGGGTTTGCAGGAGGCAGCTGATCGATGTTTCTCTCTCATCGATGTTTCTAACTCTCTATCCCTCTCCCTTCCTCTCTGTAAAAAAAAAAAAAAAATTAAGTGTATCTTCGGGTGAGGATTAATCAAAGAAAAGTAAGACACTTGATTCACCAAGAAGAGATTGCAATTTTAATTTAGGGGGAAAGTACACAAAAGAACAAAGCAGAATATACTTGAGGAAGGGAGAAGGAGGCGGCCACACCTCTATACACCTGGGATACACCTATGTGACATACGGTTCATAAGTCATTTCCCTCATATTCCTCATGTTTCCTACTGGGAAGAAACAGGTTTAATTTTCACCAAACTCCTTCCCCCAGAATATCTTCCATCCAGTATTGGTTGGCTGCATGGATCTGAAAGGCTGGCTGTACTCTTGACTTCAGATTAACACGGTAGACTCCTCTCAATCACATAATTTTAAAATGTCTACACTGCACAGTACGAAGAAGTAATTCTCTGCCTCTAGCAATGAAGAAGCCAAAAACAGTAAAGAGAAGTTCGAACATCTTTGTCTACCTACTTGCACCAGGAATGAGCCAGCCAGTTGAGCCCTTCGAGCTGGTAGTCGCGGAGCTCCAGGTTCTCCCCTCCTAAATATGCCGGCTGTTTCTTTAAGGCCACAAACCGTGGTCTCTGCTTCAGGGCCTGAAAAAGAAAAGGAACCAAGCCCCGGGTCAGGAAAAACTTCCTTCCTGTTCCTACGCTAAAATGCTACTGGCCATGAGTTACGTGTTCAGCACCAAAGCGTCCAAATTCAAACTTCACATCGGAATCAGCAACCCAGCGCCACTTCTTTCATTGTGGTCCGTATTCCCAGAGGCACACAGCCTCCCGGGTGCCATAAACCTGCATGTCAACCTCTCAGAGACATAGCCCATGTCTTACATAAACTTTTATTACTAAAGAGCCAAGGACACCACTTTAGAATGAATTCCAATGAGGGAAATGATTGTATACAGCCAATCTAGCCAATAGAAAAGCTGATATACTTAGTATCTAACTTAAAATTGAGAGATGTTCCCCTTTTCATCACTCCTCTTTAAAGTGTTCAAATTAGCCCTAACTGGTTTGGCTCAGTGGATAGAGCGCCGGCCTGCGGACTGAAGGGTCCCAGGTTTGATTCTGGCCAAGGGCATGTACCTTGGTTGCGGGCACATCCCCAGTAGGGGGTGTGCAGGAGGCAGCTGATCCATGTTTCTAACTCTCTATCCCTCTCCCTTCCTCTCTGTAAAAAAAATCAATAAAATATATATAAAAAATAAAGTGTTCAAATGATTTCACCCTGGCCTGTGTGGCTCAGTTGGCTGAGTGTTGTCCTATGCACCAAAAGGTCAATGGTTCGATTCCTGGTCAAGGACACATACCCATGTTGCAGGCTCGATGCCCAGTGGGGGGCGTGCAGGAAGCAGCCCATCAATGTTTCTCTCTCTCCCCCCTCCCTTCTTTTCTCTCTAAAATCAATAAAAAGTATTTCAAGTATTCTCTACAATATCTCTAATTAGATGTATCTCATTCTATAAATTATAAGATTCAGCAAGTCAGCAAAGCCTTCTTCAACTCATCCTCTCCTCTTAATTTTCCTTTGGTGTGAAGGTTAATTCATCTTCTTTCATTTCCAAAATGGAAATGATCCTTTATTTTTGTAACAGTTTATCTTCCCAATAGCTCCGTGCCCAGTCCTTTGTATCGACACATCTTTCCCCTAAAACACCGAAGCCGGCCAGCACCGCACCTTGCACTCTCTCGTCGGGATGGTTTTGGAGTTGTTCCGGCTGTGGAAGCTGTCGATGCAGCCCTGGAATTTCTTTCCGATCAGGGCTTCGTCTTCCCAGCTGCACTCTGAGTAGGGCAGGCCCATCCATTTGCACAGATACTCGGGTTCATTCGAAGGTGCCGGCTTCCGACTGTGAGCTGTTTCACGTGTAAAAATGTACAGGTAAGCCACTGTCCCTTCCACGAGGGGACTGACATTATAACCAATGACACATCATGTGGCAAAACTGTGAACACTGCGAAACATCAACTGCTCAGAAATGCTGAACATTAACAAACAGGAGCAATTGCTTACCTGGAAAATCGGTTTGACCCAGTGTAGATTTGCTTGTCTTCATAGCTAAACAACGGACGGTAAGAGAGAGAGGTTATCACTACAATCAGCACTAGATAAATACATACATGCACACATGCATACATGCATACAGACATACATAAAGTAAGTTTCCATGCTCTTACCTATCACTCTTTCTACTATCTGATACTGTTTGTTCAGCTCTGAGGCCAGCTCCTGTTGGCAGTTGAAGTATTCCACATCTTCGGGAGAAACCTTCCCCAGCCTGGACAGAAGACGGACAGAAAAAGTACCCGCTCGTTAAATCTGGGGGATCCATACACACATGCTGAACATTAACAAACAGGAGCAATTGCTTACCTGGAAAATCGGTTTGACCCAGTGTAGATTTGCTTGTCTTCATAGCTAAACAATGGACGGTAAGAGAGAGAAGTTATCACTATAATCAGCACTAGATAAATACATACATACATGCATGTATACATGTATGCATGCATACATACATACATACATAAAGTAAGTTTCCATGCTCTTACCTATCACTCTTTCTACTATCTGATACTGTTTGTTCAGCTCTGAGGCCAGCTCCTGTTGGCAGTTGAAGTATTCCACATCTTCGGGAGAAACCTTCCCCAGCCTGGACAGAAGACGGACAGAAAAAGTACCCGCTCGTTAAATCTGGGGGATCCATACACACCTCTCAAAGCAAAGTCCAAAGGGAGAGAAGAAATCAGTCTTCACTTCCATCTTCCCCTTTAGTATCTAGTAACGAAGCCAGAGACTTTACAAAACACACACACTTTTAGAAAACACAACACCGTAGATGCCTCTCCGTGTGGCCGATTTATAAGAAACCTCAACATAACTATGTTGTGACAAATTCATGTAATTTCATGGGGTAAATTAATATATCTAAACAGACCAAGAGGATAAAACTGTCTTCCAGATTGAAAAGATGACATGCCTTTTTATTAACATATAATGGGCTTCAGGAGTGATTCAATGTGGCTTTTTTGAAAACGAGTTATTCTTAGCACCAAAGCTCATTAAAAGGACAACAGCAGCCACCTAAAATTAGATCTCACCATACTTTTGAGAATTTTAAATATATAAGCCACTTCTATCTTAACGACACATATTATTGTTTTTGACTCAAAGGAAGAATATGTGATTTAGTGAAGTAGCATATTTTGCATTGTAGTAAAACAGAAATTATAACTCATCTGGCCCAGCCGGTGTGGCTCAGAAGTTAAGTGTCGACCTATGAACCAGGAGGTTATAGGTTCGATTCCTGGTCAGGGCACATGCCCAGGTTGCGGGCTCGATCCCCTGTAAGGGGCTTGCAGGAGGCAGCAGATCAATGATTCTCTGTCATCATTGATGTTTCTATCTCTGTCTCCCTCTTCCTTCCTCTCTGACATCAATAAAAATGTTTTCTTAAAAATTTATAAAAACAAACGACAGGACTCATCTGTCCCTATTCGTAACACAAAGTAACCTGACCACATTACACAGACAGGTCTGATGTCCAGGTATATTGAACCTTCCTGTCCCTCGGGCTGCAAATGTATTTCTTTAACCCAGGATGGAAAATGTACCATTGCTTGATTTCATCCTCTTTCTTCTTGAAGTTCTCGAGTTTTTTCAGGCCTTTCACTTTCTGTTGCTGCAAGGACTCTTCGCTCTCCCACGTGCTGTGGATATAAGACCAACCCTTCCACTTGATGAGGTACTGGACTTCGCCTTCATCGCTCTCCGGGTCAAAGTCACCGCTTGGGTCTCCGTTGGCTTCAACCGCATACACTGTGGTAGACGCTCCAGTGGCTGCAAAAGGATTCAGTTTTAACACATTTTAGATAAAGTACATGAAACCAGACACTGAAAAGTTTCCCAAGTTCACAATTGTCTAAAGAGTCTATTTTCAGATGAAGCACCAAAATCCTTTGACTTGAAAGAAGCAGAAATTTGTAAGCAATACAGGATAAATGAGATCAAAAATTTCAAATGTTTTCAAAATGCAAACTCAATTTTTATACTTTAAAACATATCCCAAAACTTGCCAGTGAAGTCAAAGAAATCCTTGTGTCCAAATACAGTAAAAATAAAATAACAACACCCTTTTATTCTGGTCCCTACTAACTCAGAAAAGAAATCCATCCATCCAGGAATATGATGGAAAAGGTAAGAAACTATATGTATCTCTACCAGTTACCATCTACCCAAAGTTAACTGTTAACTCATAACTTCAAATGAGGTTGGATGAACAAAGACGACAGAAAAAAATTCATTAGGTGTTACCTTGACATTTCCTTTATAGCAAGATTACTTTAAAGAAATTGAGTTCTATCTCAATTTAAATATAAAACAATCTTCATTATCATCCAAATATGCATTTTACCAGTTTCATATTTTTCACAAGGAGATTCAGGAACTAAAAAGCATATTAGCTCAATGTTAATGAGCAAGAACCTCTGCTACATCACTGCTTTTTAAGACAGTAACACATCTTTATTAGCTTCATTTTAAAATCTCAAAAACACGTGAAATGCACCCCTCCATTCTCAGCTCTGACATAATGAAGATGGGGGTCAGAAAAACCCTATTTCAGGACAAATATGGGCATGGGCTGACATGCATCATTTCAGAGTTGAAATCCCTATTTCAGGACAGATATGGGCATGGGCTGACATGCATCATTTCAGAGTTGAAATATGTAAAATCTGGGTCTGACTGAGCAGATAAAAAAAGGAATTTGCTTGCCAAAGGCACGTACCTCCTTTCTTGCCCAGCCGTGAGTCTAAGACCTTTTCAATGGTTTCACTACTGTCCTGCTGGTCATCCACTCCTTCCCCAGTCATCTCAATGAGGTCATCTGAGTCGGTCTCGAAGTCATCATCTTCTTTATAGCTGCAGAGGCACAATGCGGAGTAAGTGAGAGACTCTAGCACACACCCAAACATCGTTCCTAAAAGGGGATGTTATGAAATGAAGGTAACAACATCACTAGCTACCTCGACAGGCCGTGAACTTGAGGCACGGAATAAGTAAGAGACTCTAGCACACACCCAAACATCGTTCCTAAAAAGGGATGTTATGAAATGAAGGTCACATCACTAGCTACCTCGACAGGCCGTGAACTTGAGGCAGCTGTCTTGATAGGAATGAAGGCTTGAAATGAGCTACTGCTACTTATTCCATATTCCCGTTGGCCAACGCCATTCTCTTTGCACCCACACAGACCAGATTTCCAAATACCTCCACGGGACACAGGTCAGTATTTCTGCCCACCAGATGCATCATCAGGGGCTGAGAACCAAGTGCAAGCCCATCAAACGATCGCCCTCACACTAAGGAAAAACTTCCGGGGCATGACCTACCTCACATTTTTGGCCGCTCTGCGACGAGTCTGCCTTTTGGGAGCTTCATCGTCTTCATCATCGTCATCAGACGACTCTTGCTTTTTTTTCTTTCCACGCTGAGCTTTCGGCTGCTTTTTAACACGAGGTTTGGGCACTGTTCTGGAATGAGAAGATAAAAAAAAAAAATGGCAGTTTTACTCTATCGTTTGGTGTTTACGTCAAATCTGTATCATTCTTTTTCCCAGGGCAGGGGGACACTCGTAGGCTTAACCAGGGGAATGTTAGAAATGTATGTTCCTGGGTCCCCTTTTCCCTGAGATTCTAATTCACTGGAAATCTGCATCTTCCGCATGGACATGAAGCTAATGCTAACAGTCCGCCAGCATTTACAGGAGACACAGTGGGTTCTGAGGCAAAAGGTCCGCCACTGACCCTCAGGATCACCTGATATAAAAATACACACACAGCGCGTTGCTGGTGGCATCTCTTTGGTGGGCAATTTGGAAATATCTCCCAAACTGACTAATATAACAATTTTACTTCTGGGAATTGATCTTACAGATATAGACACCGGCCCAGGCATATTAAGGTATTCACCGGAGTATTATTTGCAATTACAAAAGATTAGAAACACTCTAAGTGTCCATCAACTGGGAACCAGTTCAATAAATAAGATACTATGGAGCCATTAAGAAAAGGGGGGGGGGGTTTCCATGTACTGATACAGAAAGATTGCCAAGATCATGAAAAAAAAATATAAAAGATGCATGGAATGTATTATCTGTATAAATGGAAAAAGAGTAAGAAGTAACTACACATTTATTTTTCTTATATGTGCACAGAATGTACTAGAAGGCCACCTGGGAGACTAACCTGCACAGACCAATGGAACAGACTGAGGATATGCCCTGTGCTGACTCCCACCCATGGCCAGGACTGAGCGCCATAACCCGGGAGCTCACACAAGGAAATCCCCAAAAACCGCTCTATCGGTGGTAAAAAGGTGAAAGGAGAAAATGGAGGATGAAAACTCGTAATCACATCTATCTCTTTCTCTCTGGCCTGCCATAACCAATGCTACACAGAGGATTCAAGACCCAGGATTCAATAAATGATGGATAAAATCTTGAAGACGAAACTGGAGTGCCATCCCAATCCTGAGCTTAACTCGGATGAAAGGGGACACACCTCAGTTGATGAATTCCGCTGAGGGGGTGGGGGTTGGGGTGGGGGACAAGTCCTGTGTCCTAAGCCAGGGGTAGGCAAACATTCTGCTGTAAAACTGCCAGAGGGGCCGAAACCGGTTTGGCTCAGTGGATAGAGCGTCGGCCTGCGGACTGAAAGGTCCCAGGTTCGATCCCGGTCAAGGGCATGTGCCTGGGTTGCGGGCACATCCCCCGTAGGAGATGTGCAGGAGGCAGCTGATCGATGGTTCTCTCTCATCGATGTTTCTAACTCTCTATCTCTCCCCCTTTCTCTCTGTAAAAAATCAATAAAATATATTTAAAAAAAAAAAAAACAGCCAGAGGGTGTGAAGATTTTGGGTTTTACCAGACAAGAGACAAAACTGAGGCCACCTCATAGGTACTTACATAGCGAGAGAAAATAAATTTTCATGGATTTTTGAGTGTCAAAACTGAAAATAAAGTAATCATCGAGTATATTTTTTGTGATACATATCGACTAAGGAGAAGAACAGCACTATTTTTTAAGGGATAACATGTCACTGAATTGAAATTCAAACTTAGTGTTCCCTATTGTCAAACTACCAGTGTTCATCTATAAAGCTATACTGAGCCGGCGGGCCGTAGGTATTTTTGAGTGACAAAATTGAAAATAAAGTAATCATCATTGAGTATATTTTTTGTGATACATATTGACTAAGGAGAAGAACAGCACTTTTTTAAGGGATAACATGTCACTGAACTGGAATTCAAACTTAGTGTTGCCTATTGTCAAACTACCAATGTTCATCTATAAAGCTATACTGAGCCGGCGGGCCGTACAAAATGAGGTGGGGAGTGGGATCTGGCCCCAAAGCAATCGCCTGCCAACCCCATCCTACACCACAGCGCAAGGTCGTTAAGTTTCCCGGGGCCCCTCTGCCTCCCGCCTTCCTTCACCCTCGCCAGTATCGTATGATGCCATCCATCTGATCAAGAAGGACCACTTTCCCGCCACTCGGCCTACTTCCTTCTCCGACAATTAGATTCTCTGTTTAATGTTACATAGATTATATGAACAAGGTAATAAACAGCGAAGAATGCTTTCAACCAGTCAGTGTTAGAAACTTAAGAGTTAGTTTCCTCAAAAAGGAGGCTTTTAAACTTTTTTAAAAATATGTTTTTAGCCCTAGCCAGTTTGGCTCAGTGGATAATGCATCGGCCTGCGGACTAAAGGGTCCCAGGTTCAATTCCGGTCAAGGGCACATGCCTCGGTTGCAGGCTCCTCCCTGGCCCCGGCCCTGGTCGGGATGCGTGCAGGAGGCAACCAATCGATGTTTTTCTCTCACATCGATATTTCTCTCTGTCTTTCCCTCTCTCTTCTACTCTCTCGAAAATCAACGAAAAAATATCCTCGGGTAAGGATTTAAAATAAATAAATAAAAATAAAGTGGCTGCACCATTTAAAAAAATTAAAAAGTGGTACATTATTATACAATATGTTTTTATTGATTTTAGAGAGAAAGGAAGAGAGAAGAGGAAAGCGATAAAAACATCAATGGTAAGAAAGAATCATTGATGGGCTGCCTCCTGCATGCCCCCTACTGGGGATGGAGCCCAAAACCCAGGCACGTGCCTTGACTGCGAATGGAACCGTGACCTCGTGGTAGACGCTCAACCAATGAGCCAGTCCATCTGGGCCAGTGGTCGGCAAACTGCGGCTCAGCAAACTGTGGCTCGCGAGCCACTTGCGGCTCTTTGGCCCCTTGAGTGTGGCTCTTCCACAAAATACC